GAGAGAGAGAGGAGAGAGAGAGAGAGAGAGAGAGAGAGAGAGAGAGAGAGAGAGAGAGAGAGAGAGAGTGAGAGACATAGAGAGAGAGAAGAGAGGATAATAAAAATCATAGACATACACGCGGTTTTATCAACCTTACGGGTGGAGTTGATAAAACCTTGTGTGCGTGCAACTTCGCTTTGTTGCGTTGCATCGCCGTCGCTAGCATCGTCAGCATCGGCATCAGTTGACAAAGTTGTGCGCGCGTGTACATGCGTGTTTGCATACTATCACAAAGTGTGTTCTCATATCATCGCTGTCGTGACCCAAGCATCCCCAGAGATGTGCGATCTGGTGACAAACAATCCGTGCGTCGAATCCATCAACATGGCGACTGCGACGACGATCGTGCGATGATGGCGGCTGTGAAACGGATCGGCTTTTTTGCGCGTGCGAGCGTTCCAGCAAAAATGGATGATCTTCAAGTGATACACATGCTCAATGCTTGCGCAAGCGCTTTGCGCTCGGCGGCAAAGCATCTCCGACGACGCGTGGGTTAGCTTTCATCTTGATGCGAAGCTTTGGCTTGACATCTACGTCGCAGGCAAGTAGGTTCTGGCAGAAAGAAAGCAAGGCCTCGTGCTCCCGCATGTTCATGCCAGGAAATGCAGTGCGCGCGTAGGCGCCAAATCTTTTGCCCACCGTGGCAATTCTGCAAACGATCAGGGCATTGCGCCGCGTCTGGTGCAACACATTTCTGAACAATGATTTCAGCTGAAGCATGAACGCCTCCAGCGAGGTAGTACCGTACATGTGTGGAGCACCTGGGTTTCTATGCACAAACTAAGATGCATTCATTAGATACCTGGGACTCTGCTTAGAAGTAGCGCCCTTCACATACTTAGAGTATGTGTTTCAAGATGCTGCTGACGACGAAGATGATGATGACGAGCATGTGTTTCAAGATGCTGCTGACGATGATGATGATGATGATGACGAGCATGTGTTTCAATATGTTGCTGATGATGATGGTGATGACGAGCATGTGTTTCAATGCGCTGCTGATGACGATGGTGATGACGAGCATGTGTTTCAAGATGCTGCTGATGACGATGGTAACGACGAGCATGTGTTTCAAGATGCTGCTGATGACGATGGTGCTGACCAGCATGTGTTTCAAGATGCTGCTGATGACGATGGTGATGACGAGCATGTGTTTCAAGATGCTGCTGATGACGATGATGATGATGACGAGTATGTGTTTCAAGATGCTGCTGATGACGATGATGATGATGATGACGAGTATGTGTCTCAAGATGCTGCCCATGACGATGGTAACGACGAGCATGTTTTTTTCAAGATGCTGCTCATGACGATGATGATGATGATGAGTATGTGTTTCAAGATTCTGCTGATGACGATGGTGATGACGAGCATGCGTTTCAAGATGTTGCTGATGATGATGATGGTGATGACGAGATGCGTTGGGAGCAGTGCGTTGTCATAGTGAGCTTCACAGAGCACAATCGAGTGGGAAGCACAGCCCACCAGACTAAGGGAATAACTCCCTGGGGCTAGGCACCCATAGCAGATTCCATAAATTATCCTCTCTTTACCCTTCTTCCTCCTCCTCCTCCTCCTCCGCCTCCACCTCCGTCTCTTCCTCCTCGCCCCTCTTACTTCCAGTGGGTGAGTGCCGAAGCGCGTTCCAGAGAGATTAATAAGCCTTAATATCTCGATTCTCCGGCCTCCTGAGGCCCGAAACAAACATTAGCGGATTACACATTGATTTCTTTTGTTGTTGAATTACAAAAGGGAATCCTTTTGTGGTGAACTACACATTGTTATATTTTGTGGCAGAGTACAAAAGGATTCCTTTTGTGGAGAATTGCACAAGGACTTCTTTTGTGGAGGATCACATGACGATTCCTTTTTGTGGCGAATTACAAAAAGGAATCCTTCTGTGACGAATTACAAAAGGATCTCTTCTGTGGAGGATTACAAAGGGATTCCCCTTGGTGGAGGAATACAAAGGGATTCCTTTTGTGGAGGATTCCACATGGATTTCCTTTGAGGGCTCTCCTGGAAGTGAACCATGGGACAAAAAAAAATAAGCAGAACATCTTTGAGAATTAGGAAAATTGTAAGTTTTCAATGAATTTCCAATGTTTTGAAGCAAAAACATATAACAACACAACATTTCCAAGGTTTTGAGGCCGAAACCATATGAAAACACAACATGTTTGCATTCGGATTGTGAAACTGCTGTGTTTTTCTAGGTTTCTGCTTCAAAACATTGGAAAATCATTGAAAACCTGTAATTTTCTTAATTTTCAATGGTTTTATGTTTTTTTTTCCTTTTCTTTTTGTCCATTGGTTCACTTCCAGGAAAGCACTCAAAGGAAATCAATTTGTAATCCCCTACAAAAAGAATCCCTTTGTATTCCTCCACCAAAGGGAATTTCTTTGTAATCCTCCACAAAAGAGATCCTTTTGTAATCCTCCACAAAAGGAATCCTTTTGTAATCCGCCATAAAAGGAGACAGTTTGTTATTCACCATGAACAGAATTCCCTTGTAATTCCCAACAAAAGAACTCAATTTAAAATGTGCTACAACAGGAATCGTTCTGCATTCCACTACTTTGAGCAATCCCTTTAGAGATGACGAAAAGCATAATCAACAGGAAAGCAAGCACATCAGAAGTAATAGACCAAAAACCGAGGTGGTACACCCACACACACACGGTTTTATCAACCTTACGGGGGGAGTGGGGAGAGGGCAAATTGAAGAGGGGGGGAGATACTGATGAGGACGGCGGATGGGGTACGGAGGGGCGATGGGGACAGGGGAGGAGGATGAGGAGGACGCAGAAGACGAGAACGAGCCCGAACATGACGAGACTGAACGGCGCACACAATCCCGACCGGTTAATGGGTCGGCGGCCAGATCGGGCCCGAACGGGCGGACTCGCCTGGTCTTCCAAACACACCTCCTCCTCCCCATTGTCCTCCGTCCCCAGCCTTCCATGCTCCTCATTACATCCTCCACCTTCTGTCCTCCTTCTCCACCTCCCTCTCCAGCCTCCACCTTCTTCCATGCTCCTCCTCCTCCTCCTCCTCCTCCTCCTCCTCCTCCTTCTCCCTCTCCATCCTCCGCGCCCTCTGCATCTGCCGCATTGCTCGCATCCTGTGCGTTTCCCTCCTTCCCCGCACCCCGCATCCCCAAGATCCCACGCGTCCCGCCCCCCCCCCCCCGCCGCGTCCTCCTACTCAAAGCCTCTGCGATTCGAGTCGCTCCGTGAGCAGTTCGGCCCATGGCGAGCCTCGGGTCGCGCCCAGTGCCTCCACCTGGCGCTGGATGGGGCACGCCCCGGGGCTGGAGTTCGCCTCCATCCTGGCGGGCGTTGGCGAGCTCTGGGCGAAGTTGCGGCCAGCCAATTTTCGCTGGTCACTTCGTGCTTCAGTTTTGTCCTAAACTCGCTGATCTGCATCCGTCCCAGGGCTTGTGGTGGCTTCAACCACCACTCTCTAGGCGTACTTATAATTTGTTCTCTTATCAGTGCTTGCGCTGAAGGGATCCTGGCGGAGATTGCAACATTTGGCGAACATGCGGGGCCGATTTCGGTAGGCGGTCGGGTTCCCGGGTTCCTGGATCTGGGTTTTGCTGGTTCTGGACAGATTTCGGTGGGCGGCGGGGTTCCCGGGTTCCTGGGTTGATCTCCTTATCGATCGGTCTCACCATCGATCTCACTACTCAACTCTCTATTGATGTCACAATCGATCCCACTAAATCGCACGAGCGATCTCACGATCGATCTCACCATCGATCTCACTGAATCGACTTCACGATCGGTCTCACGATCGAACTTACTATCGCCCTTACAATCGATCCCACTATCGGTCGCTCTATCGATCTCACAATCAATCACAATTTCCATATCGCAGATGTTCAAGCCATCCACTGATTGGTGCTTTCTCTGGTGTAATCTGGATTCGGGTCTTCGTGAACACATCGTGTCTCTCACGTATCTCCATTCTCAAATGAAGATCGCTCAATTCAGGTGTCCTTCTGGATGTTTTTATTGCACGTCTTCGTCGGCATCCCGTCCGCAACCCGGGGGGCACGGGAGCTTCGAACCCGTCTGGGTCCTGCCCGGGCGGAGGCTCTTCGCTGGAGTCTGTTCTGACATGTGTTTCACTTCAGTGGCACGCATAGCGCCGTGGCGTTACTTTCGAATGAGATGTGCAGGCAAACCTGGAGGAATGCCATTGCTCATTTTAGTAGCGGCAGTCGGCGAGGCGATTCGTGGAATGAGCGATATCGAATTGGAGCCGTGCGACGCTGCTCCGCTTGTGCGGAGTATGAGGTTGCCCGATGACCAGTCGTGCTTTCATCATTGCAATGGACCGTATCGAGTTGAACTAATTTCTGTTGACCCAGTTGGTATTCTTTGTGTGCAGTGAGGTATCCATTGAGTGAGGTATTTATCCGAGGTATCGGCGGGATGTGGCTCATTTCACGCATCGCGTGCAGCTTGGGCTTCCATCTCGAATTTCCTCGGACTCCAGTCGTTTGTCTGCTCTACGTCCTCTGGTTCGTCGCCTGCGACGAGGAGCTCATGGGGCGGCTCGGAGGCACGGGATCGCATTGCGATTGCTCTCGTTCACTCACTCACTCACCCCCGCGTCCTCCCAAACGCCCCCCAAAACATCGGCCTCGACCTGGAATCCTCCTCCTCCTCCTCCTCCTCCTCCTCCTCCTCCCTCTCTCTCCTCCTCCTCTCTCTCTCCTCCTCCTCTCTCTCCTCCTCCTCCTCCTCCTCCTCTTCCTCCTCCTCCTCCTCTCTTCCTCTCTTCCTCCTCCTTCCTCTCTTCCTCCTCCTCCTCCTCCTCCTCCTTCTCCTCCTCCCCCCCTCCTCCTCCTCCTCCTCCTCCTCCTCCTCCTCCTCCTACTCCTCCTGCTCCTCCTCCGCCCGAGCTCGCGAAGTCGATCTAGCCCGCCGCCTCCTAAGGCCGCGACGATGACCCCATCCCCGTTCAGGTCCAGCACTGCGAACGCCGCCGTCAGCCGCTCTGGCGAGGAGGGGGTGGGGGAGGCACGTTGTTTTTCCCCAGCGCAGCTGAAGAGCTTTTCCTGTCCCTGGCGCAATATCGGGCGTGACTCTGGGGGGGGCGGATGGGGGGATATGGGGGCCGATCACGTCACGATTCGCGCTGGCGCCGTCTGGGAATGCATCGAATGGCTCATTCTCAGACGGCGCCCCGGCGCGAATCGTGACGTGCTCGGGGGTGGGGCAAAGGGGGGGCGGGGCGGGTCCGGTCACGGGCGTTCTCGCGAATAATGGATGCGTTGCCTCCCTTGGAGGAGAAGGAGGGAGGTCGGTGGGAGGCATCGCGAACACGTCCACCTCGTGCAAGGGAGTCTTGCCATCGCTCGGACGTCCATTCCTCGTGCATTTGTCGGCTTCGTGCGTGTTTTTTGCGACTTAGGATCCAATATGTTTTCGACAGAAGACCCCGCCGAGAAAAAATGCACACGTCCGAGCGACGCCGAGGAGTTGGCGCCCGTACCGCAAGACCGTGACCCTGTGGATGCTTCGGGAAGCCTCCCGAGGCCTCCGGGGTGCCCGAGGCCTCTGGGGGAGATCTCAGCAGGGGGGTTCAGACGAGGGGGAGGGGGGGCAGGAGGACGACGAGGAGGGATGGCAGGAAGAGGAGCAGCAGGAGTGGAAGGGAGGAGGCGCCAACGCTAGCCAGCATGGGGACGCAGCATAAGTGGACGACGGCCCCGTCGTGGTACAGAAGAGCAAGACGACGCCACCGCGGAGCGAGTTGGCACTAGGATTAGGTCGGGCATGCCCTCCTACAGGTGGACTTTGGACGAAAAATAAAACATGCCCAGGAACTAATCAGAACATGCCGAAACTACTCAACACATCGTCCCGTGACTATTTTTTCCTTACGTTTGAAAATTCCTCCTGTAGAGGGACAGGCCCGAATTAACACTAGGGGAAGGCATGGGGCCAGCCCTCAGCGCCAGCACAGTGGCACGGTGGCAAGCTGCGGTGGAGGGGTGCTGCTGCTCGTGCCTTCCAGGGAGGGGTGCGGGGTGTGCTGGCCTTCGGTGCAAGGGGAGATGAAGACGAGGCGGAGGGGGGATGAGGAGGGGGAAGATGAGGATGACTAGGGAGGGCGGAGAGAAGGGGGAGGAGGAGGACGAGGGGGAGGAGCAGCAGCAGGAGGAGCAGCAGCAGGAGTAGCAGCAGTGCAAGCAACCATGGAGGCGGGAGAGTGGGTGTGGGAGGGAGATGAGACAGATGAGGAGGAGGACGACGACGATGACGACGAACGAATACACAGACAATGAACAGGACGACGACGAAGACAACGCAGGCGACGGCGGCGACGACGCCTGACGAAGAAGACGGTGACGACGACAATGGCGACGGCGACCATGACAACGACCACGACGACGCCTGACGACAATAATGACGACGACGACAACCAGGAATCCGAGGCGGATCCAGCCGCGGCGGCGACAGGTACCCTCAGTGGTCCGAAGAGACGCAACACGCCTCCCAAAACGCTACGCCTCGATCCCAGATCCCACACCTTCTGACCCTCGATCCTCGATCTTAGCCGACGACGGCGACGCCCCGCGAGGGCAACGACGAGACCAGCGATGGCGCCAGACGACGACAAACGCGACGCCGGACAACGACGGCGACGACGACGACGCTGGCGGCACATGCTGGAGACGACGCCGGACGACGACGACGACGCCGGCGGCACCTGATGGCGGCGACGCCAGACGACGACGTCGACGACGACGGCGCCAGCGGCGCTGCGCCTGGCAGCGAGCCGTCGGCGCCCACCTTCGGGGGCGCCTTCTTGCCGCCCGCCGCCGGCAGCTTCGTGGACGACGCGACGGCAGCGCTGGAGCCCTGGCGGTCGCGGCAGAGGCGGCGACGCTCGGCGGCCCAGACGAGGAGGAGGAGGAGGAGGAGGAGGAGGAGGAGGAGGAGGAGGGAAGCAGGGAAGCACTGAAGAGAAAGCGTCTGCTCACAGACACCACTCTAGGAGGGAAATTTAAACCCCCAAGCCGTCAGTCACCCAGTGAGGGACTTCCCAGTCATGGGGTGCTTGCCTCTCTGGAGAGCACTGAGGACTGACCTCCTGCTCTTGGGCAAGTCTTTGGGGTCAGGGCAGGGGGAGCTGAAGGCCTTCCCCACCCTGACGGACCCGTAGGCCCCGCACCGCCGACACCAGACGACTGTACCCGTGGCGGTGACGTCGTGTCCCCCTGGCGCGTGACACCACTCCGCCACCGCGGGCTCCCCAGAGCCCGCGGCGCCCCCAAAGGGGCCCCAGCCTCGCCCTCGCGGGCAGGCACAGGCCCCACACGCACGGCCTCCTCAGAGGCCAAAGACGCCAAGCCCCCAGCCCCGCCCTCGCGGGCAGGCACAGGCCCCCCCCAGCGCACCCCAGCCGAGCCCCCAGCCGCAGCCGACCCAAGCCCAGCAGCAGCAGGAACCGACCCAGCCGAGGCCCCATCCCAACGGGCACCCACAGGGCCACCAGGCGGCCCCCCCACAGACCCCCAGCGGGCCGTCGGCGGCCTCGCGGCGGCACTGGCGGCAGCCTCGATCAGATTTGCCTGCATTCGGGAAATCGTAGAAGGCACACACCGTCGATCCGTGCCCCCCGTCAACTGCCTGCGAGCCTCGGCGGTCTTCGCAGTGCGACGGCATCGACGACACATGAGCCTCCCTCGAATCTCGATGAGGTCGTGCTCATGTATTAGCAGCACCACTCTAGCTCCATTAGCCTTGGGAGCCCTGCTCGGGGCGGCCGTCAGGACTGCCTTCTCAGACCACAGCTCGAGCTGGCAGCTTCTCTGGACCGCCCAAGACAAATACTTGGCATACTGGGCAGCCTCTGTCAGCGAGTCCTTATAGAACCTAGCATGGGCCTCTGGGAGCTTGACCGAGAGGGCTCCCAGCTTAGCGAAAAAGTCGGCCCAACTATTCCCCACGATCCAGAGGTAGGGAGGAGGCGGAGGGTCCTCAGGAGCGGGGAAGAGAACCTCATCCTCAGTCCTGTGGGAAGGGACCCATGCAAAGGCAGGCGGCGTTCTTTTCAGCGCCACCAGCTGGCGTCACACTGCAGGGTATGCACGGCTAGCATCAGTGAGGGCCTCCTTCTCTCCTTGGCCCCACAGCTTGCCTTCCTGCACAAATTCCAGCAGGTCAGAAATCACACACTGGACCGAAGGCATGTGCTGAAGGGCCTTGAGGCCCGCAACACGCTCTGCACGGCCAACTGTCTGCTGCGCGCCTGCGAGCCCGCCATACAGCGCACGAGTGGGGACTCCATTGGCATTCAGCATGACAGCAGACCATCCACACCGACGGAGCTCAGGATACTCATTGTGGTATCCCGAGCCATCAGTAAAAACACAATCACTCCACTGTTCGGGATCCGACTCCCGGTCTCCCCAAAAGAAGCAAGGAGGCGACTCAGGAGGCGGCGGCACTTCAACCTTGGGCCACCTAGGGATCCCGACCGAGAGGGCAAACGAATCCACATCCTGGCGGCCCTCTCCAATCGGCCCATGCTCCAACATGGCGTCGCGAGCTGAGGCCAACTTGGGATCGAGACCACAATCCTCCTCATCATCCAACAAGCGCTGCGTCAGCGCTGGGCATTCGACGAAACAATGGCCAAGCGTCTCGGCCTCATGCGGGCACGCTCGACACTTCTGATCATCACGCATTCCTTTGCTATACAACTTAGCTTTTGGCCAGAGGGAGCCAGACCACAGGCTGCGCAGAGCTCCGACCCTCCCCGCCCCAGTAACCGTCGCCCCCCTCCCGCCCACACAAGCCCGCAGGCCTCGCGGCCATAGAGGCGCGGCCGCATCATGGTGAGAGGCAATCTGGCGCATCTGCCAACGCTGAATCCCCTGCCGCAGGAGATCGCGAAAAAAGCGAGGCGACGTGGCAAGGAGCGAAATCACTGGCCCCACGTCGGGCTGGATCAGCACCGACGACAGCATCACCCAGCCGATCCGCTTGAGCGACAGGACGACCACCCTGAGCGGCCCGCGTGCCGACGCCCACGTCAGCTTGTCCTCGCCCGCCTCGACTCTGTCCAGCGTCACGCGCCAGGCCTTCTCCAGCGCACTCATGGACACAGCCTGCTGCCACACGACCGCGGCGTAGTGCATGAGCGGCTCGACGGTCGCCGCGAAGACTGGGTCGTACCACGGGTTCCGCTCGCTGGCCAGGTAGAGCGTGTTGCTGCCACCGCGGCCCTTGACCCCAGCAAGTCGGGCCGCCTCCGAGCGCAGCACGGCCAGCTCGGAGGGGGCCACGCCGCTCACCGCCGCCCCGTGGGCGGCAGCAGGCAGCAGGCCCGTCTGCCACAGGCACGCCGCACGCCCTCCAGCCGCACGGCGTAGCCTCGCCGCGCGCCACAGCCGCGGCCTCACGTTCTTGAGGAGGGGGAGGAGAAGGAGGAGGAGGAGGAGGAGGAGGAGGAGGAGGAGGACCCTGGCGTCGTGTTTCTTTCACGGCGTGGACCCGCCCAAGTCTCGGCCCCTTGCCCGGAGACCAGCTTTTGCTCAACTGTCTCTGCTGACGGTCCTGGGGCCCGGCAGGGGCCCCCAGAAGCCGACCGAGCATTGTCAAACACCTCCCGCCGTTTTCTATCACGGAGCGAGGGGGTCTGCGGCGCCTGACGAGAGTAACGGCGGACGACGACGGCGCTTGTCGGGTCGGGCGGGTCGGGCGAAAGGGGGGGATAGCGAATCAGCTCACGTAGCTGATTCTCCCGGCGCCTCCCGGCGCCGGAGGCGCCCATGTATCGAGGAATGGGCCCCTCGGTCGGGCCGAAACCAGCTGCATGCAGCAGATTTCGTAACCCCCCCTTTCCCAAACCCCCCCCTTTCGCCCGACCCGAGCTTGGCGGCAAAGCCCGGCGACGTCGACGCCCGAAGACGGCGAGACGGCGGGCGACTGCGACGCCTGGGCGGCGTCGGCTCTCGACGGCGACGGCCGACGACGGCGACGCCTGACGACGATGGCGGCGCCTGACGACGGCGGCGCCCGAAGACGACGGCGGTGACGACACTGGACGACGATGCCTGACGACGACGACGACGACGACGCCTGACGGCGCCGACGACGTCGGCGACGGACGGCTGCGGCGGCAGACGTCGGCAACGCTTGCATGGAACCCCCGACGACGAGGGAGGAGCATGGGCAGGAGGGCGTGCAGGATGAGGAGGGAGGGGGAGCCAGTCCGTCCAAGCGAAGACTGGCTCGGAGCCCGCGCAAACCCTCAGTGCGGAGCCCCGACCCCCTGGTCGTAGCAGCCGTTGCTGGGACGAGGCTCGAACAGCGGCCGCTCCGCGGGAGGAGGGGCCCCGCTAGTCGGGGAGGAAGAGGCGATGTGCCCTTCCTTCTCTGAGCCTCGTGGGGCCCTCGTGGTCACGGCCGGATTCGCGTCGAGATCCTGGCCAGAGCGACCTCCAGGACAGGTCGGGGGAGGTGTGCAGAGAGGAGGACCACTGGACCTCCGGCGTCACGGATGAGAGCACGACGGCCAGGTCTTCCCAAAGTGCGCCCGTCTTGGGCCCCCGGGGATAAAACCAAGCAAAAAAACTCGCCCCAGTGCTCGGGGTCGGGAGCTCTGGGGGGCCACGCCACGAGAAAGTCTCGACGTCGGAAGTGAAGGGAGGAAGTGGAGGAAGATAAGGATGAGGAGGGGCAGCAGCAGCAGCAGCAGCAGCAGCAGCAGCAGCAGCAGCAGGACGGGATCAGAAAGGGTACTTAGGACTGGAGGGCGGGGGAACGTACGGCGAGCTTCGAGGATGAAGGGGCATGGGGAAAAAGGGAGAATCTAATGCGGTTCGCCCTGGAGCCTTGTCGGATGGCCGCTTTGTTGACGATGACGTCGCAGCCGGGTCTTTCCTCGGCGCTGAACCGCCGTGCACCGTGTGCCGCACTCTCGAATCGCAAATCCGCACTCCGTTGTGCGCTGCGAGCTGGAAACCATTCTCTTCAGCTCGCTTCGCCCTGCTGACATCGCCAGGAGAGGCCTGGTGGCGAAGGGATGTCTCTCTCACACACACGCGGGCACATCGCGAGAACCTCGCCGAGATACTTCCAGACACCAGAACCTATGGCGGCTGATCTATCACGCCTGCATGTGTGTGTGCACGGGATAAACTCGAGAGCGATCATCTCGGCCGTCTCTTCTGCAGCCTCGCACGCGATATGTGCACGAGGGTCGAGGCATCTCTTGCATGCTTCTTCTGACGTGTGGATGTCGATCTCACAAGCTGGGGGGGGACCTCTCTCTCCGTACTCTCTGCCAGAACTGTTCGGTCTCGCTTCCAGGGGTCAACGCGGGCTGCAACCTGCCACATCTGATTCTCTCAATTCGTCGCACGACATACGCCGAACAGGCGACATACATGGTTGTGCATGTGGCTAGACTGCTGCGAGACATTTGGGTCAAGGTTGACCGTATGCGAAGGCCCTGGCAGGTTTCCTCTCTGAGTGTGCGACCAAACGCAAATCGCCCAGATCGTAACCCCCGTCTGATGGGAAACCGCTCAGGGTAACGAGTGGCCAGGCAAACCTACGCAACTTAGGATCCTGGCCTGGCCAACTACTGGCGTTCCTTCCTCCTAAAAGTACTCCTGGTTCGTCGAACATCTGATGCTGGGGCTTACTGGGCTGCCAATTGATTGTCTTCTCGGGGGGGGGGGAGGGACTGCTGTCCACATGGAGGGTAGCAGATCTCTGATCCGAAGGCCTGGAGGGACAGCTGCTTCGACTTTGCCTTCGGCATGAGATTTTTGGAGACTGCCTGAGTACTCAGATTCGCTGGGCACTCCGATCATCTGTGATTGTCAATTTCTGCTGCCTCACCGTACCTGGAACAAGTAAGACAGTCCATGATACCATCTTCAGAGGCCACTGCCTGCACCACGTCGCTTCTGTCATGACGTACTGCGTCATGCCCTTACGCTGAACTTACCTATACTGGCTGCTACCCCCCTGGCAACAATAACGACGGCGACGACGCCGGTAACGTCGACAACGACGACGATCACACCAACGACGACGACGGCCAACGGTGTCGACAACGACGGCAGCGACGACGACATCGTCGACAGCAACGGTGTCAACGACGACTACGGCGACGATGGCGGCGGCATCGACGGCGACGACGGGCAACGACGACGACGGCGGCCAGGACGCTCCTGGCGGGGGTTCTCGGCTCGGCGCCCGCCACGGACGGCAGGGGCTCCCAGGCGCCGACGCCGCTGGACCGCCGCCTCTCGACCTGCTCGCGGCCGGCGGCGGCGACCACCCCGACCCCGCCGCTGCTCCTCTGCCTCTGAAAGGGGGGCCGAGTGGGGGCGGGGGGGGGGCTGGCCCCGCGGGGGAGGGCGTCTGCCCGGGCAGGCGCGACGCCTCGGCGACGGGCCCCGATCGCGACTCCGTGAGCTCCTCTGCGGGGGGGTGGGCTGCCTGGCCCCTCTCGGCGACGAGTGCACGCCGTTCAGTTCTGATCGTGCTCATTTCCAACTGTGCTCGTTTCGAAGTGTTCCTGGCCCCCCAGTGGCCAGGAGGGGGCCCAGGATGGAACAGCTAGAAATGAAAGGCTCTTGGCCCCCCAAAAGATCAAAGAACTCCCGAAGAATGAGACATGAACAGTGTGTACGTCGGCCATCGGGGGGTCGGTGCGCCTGCTGTTGCCCCAGACCGCTTCCCGCACGACGGCAGTGGTGAGCTCTCCCTCCGGCAGGACAGCGGCACCACGGAGCACGACGGCCCTCGGGGCGCCGACGGCACGGGCAGGGGCTGCTGCCGCCTCGCGCAGGCGCTCAGCGCGACCCTCGATTCTCAGCGACCTTGCCGTCGCTCGGGCGTCCATTCCCCGTGCATTTGTTGGCTTCGTGCGTGTTTTCTTGCCGTCGCTCGGGCGTCCATTCCCCGTGCTTCGGCTTCGAGGGTCCTCGATGGTCCTCCCCGAGAAAAAAAGTGCACACGTCCGAGCGATGCCCTGCTCTTGACTCTTTCCGAGCCTCTGGTAGGCCCCCAGGGGACCTCTGCAAGGGGTCTCTGGGGACCTTCGGGGCCCGCAGGCGATCGAGACCCAGGGCGGAAGCACAGCTGGCCAGCAAGGACTGGCTTCTGATAGCGGTCTCCAACGAAGACCACGGCGACTCTGGGCGGCGGCGGCCACGTCGATCTGGACCCTGCTGCTGCTGCTGCTGCTGCTGCTGCTGCTGCTGCTTGCGAGGCCTGGCGTTCGACGACGATCTCTATGACGACGGCGTCGACCCCGACCCTGGTGCTGCGGACCCTGGCGGCCACCTCTGCAGGCAGAGGCCCTTGAACTGGCTCTCGCCTACCGCGAACTCACTACCGCCGTCGGGCAGCGCCCGCAGCGCTGCGCGAGAATTGCCGACGAAGTGAAGACGTGCGGCCTACGGCGTCCGACTTGCGGCCGTGGCCCGCAAGGCTGGCGCCGCTCCGGGCTGCCGCGGTGTCGGCAGGCCGGGCACGGGGTGCGCGACGGCGGCGGCGGCGAGGGAGACGGCGACGAAGGCGACGGCGATGGCGGCGACGACGGCAACGACCGATGATCACCGACGACGTCGCCCAGAGGTCTCTGGAAGCCTCTGGCGTTCCCCGGAGGTGCAGTGCAGAAGGGCCCTGCGGCCCCCGAAGGCCGGAGAAGGGCCACCAGAACGAGTTTGTGATCGGATTCTGGCAAGTGCACTTGCATGGCAGTTCCATCCGCCCCCCCTCTCCTGCACCGCCGTCTCAAGCAGCACTGGGCCGACAAAAGCGTGCAGGTGAGCCCCGGCTCGCGTGGAGTCCAGGACTCCTTTCGGACCTCGCCCCTCCCCCCCCCCCCCTCCAGGCAAATGTCCTTGCCAGAGCCGAAAAACGCCTCCCGGCGTCCAGAAGCGGTGATCCTCGACCCTCCAATCCAACTCGACTGCGCGCAAGAGTGAATCGGCGGCGCGCACAAGGGGGGCAGGTGGACGTTTTCGTGCTCGGCGTCTCGACAGTGGGCGAAAGGGGGGGGGGGTTCTGGCTCGGGACCTCTGCTTCATGCGACTGTTTGCCGCAGTGCGTCTCATGGGGGAGGCTCCACCTGTTCGAAACAGGCGCCCAAAACAGCCAACATCTACTCCGAAGGGGGGGGGGGAGAGGGGTGCAAGGGCCCGCGCCGATCGGCAAAACAACGAATAAGAAAACGATCACTTGGCGGAGGGGACGAGGCTTCTTCGACGGAGGTTGCTTCTTAGAAGGCGCCAGCCTCACAACTACAGACAAAGCCCGCGGCCTGTGAATCCATAATGAAGAACAAAGCACGCGGATGGGGCGGGAGATCTTCCGGACAACTTCAGGGGAGGAGGGAGAGTCGTATTCACATCGTTTCAGTCTGGAGGAGGGAACGGCTTCTTGGAAGGAGGCCGCTTCTTGGAGGGCCCGGGCCTCGTCTACAGATGTGAGGCCCGCGCCTTTTAAGAAGCCGCCTCTTTGTAAGACGCTTACCAGCCTGGAACATATCCCTATCCCTATGCTGGGCATCTCCTCATCACGATGCCGATCTTAGGGATTCCCTTATTTTTTGAGGGCGAATCCCTAAGATTGTCGTCGCCTTTCGGCGTGTCAATCTTAGGGATAGGGATACGTTCGAGGCTGGTAACTAGCCCCCCCCCCTCTGCGCCGCGCCGCCGCGCACGAGCGAACCCTGGGGCCAGGAGCGCGACCTCCGGGTCGCGCGGCCCTCCGCGCGCCGCTGGGCGGCCTGCGTGGGCCCGCGCGCCGGAGGTCTCTCCGGCCCGGGGGCCCCTCGCCCTGCGCGCACCCCGGGGGACGCATGTGGGCGGTGGCACTGTGGGCCTTCGGTGGGGCTCCCCATGGGGCCACGAAGCGCTGTACTGGTTGGGGGGGACGCATGTGGACGGTGGCACTGTGGGCCTTCGGTGGGGCTCCCTATGGGGCCACGAAGCGCTGTACTGAGTGGGGGGGACGCATGTGGGCCTGCCTCCGGGGCCACCTGGGGGGGCCGGCCATACCCCTCCTCCTTCTGCGCGCGGCTCAAGGACCTGTGGTGCGCGGCTTTCGGGGAACCGCGGGGGGGGGGGAAAGCCCAAGCGAGCAGGGCGCTACCGCCGCATCGCGTGCGGCGATCGGGGGCCCAAAGGGGCCCGCACCAGAGGTCACTCCGGCGGAGGGCCACTCTTACGAGCAGTCGGCCAGCGAGCTCTTCTCAGATCTCAAAGGCTCGGAAGTTCCACAGCCTTCTGAAAAGTTTTCTAAGCCTGCCCCGAAGACACCGAACACCTCTCAGAAGGCCAGGGGCCTTTTGAGAGGCCCCGCCGCCTTCCGAGAAGGCCTTCTCCCTCTCGTTTCTCCCCCCTTCGCCTGCCACCGACAAAACGGTGATCCTCGACCCTCGATCCAACGAGCGGCATGCGCTCTCTCAGCCCTGGCCAGCGAGGCCGCCGCTGGCTGCAGGCTTCCGCGGCGTCGGCAGGCATGGCACGGCGCGCGGCGGCAGCGGCACACGACGGCTTACGGCGACGGCGACGATGACGACGGCAGCGGCGCACGGCGGCTTGCGACGGCGACGACGGTCCAGACCTCCGATGGATAGGTTTTGCTCAACTCGCGGCCCCAGGACCCGACCCGATTCCCCAGGGCAGTGTCTGGCCCTGGACGCGTGTCTGACGGCCCTGCAGGCCCCACAGGCCCTGTAATCGGGGGCTCCGGGGTTGACTGACTAACTACCAAACCACCCCAGCCCAACCCGAAGACCCGAACTTCGGGTTGGGGGGGGTACGAGCTTCATGTGTGTTTTCTCAACGTTCCCCGACCCCCCCCAACTGGAAATGGAGGGCAAATTGGAGCCTTAGGGTTGGGTTGGGGTGGTTTGGTGGGCGGTGATTGACAAAATCAATCCGCCCGAGGTCTGGGGCGACGACGGCGGCGGCGACGACAGCGTACGGCGACGGCAGTGGCGGCGACCCCTGCGGCGGCGGCGGCGGAGGCGGCGGCGGCGAGGACGACGACGAGCGACGTCCCCCCGGAGGTCTCCGACGGTCTGCGGAGGCGCTCCGAGGCCCCCCGTTGGCCCCATGGAGGCCTCCGAGGGCAGCAGAGGAAGCAACAACGCCGAGGCCGAAGCGCAGGGAAAACGCCGAGATTGGAAAGAGCACACACACGCACACATATATCTATATATATATATATATCTCTGTGTATGTATCTGTATATACACATATATACACATATATCGTCGGAGGTCTGCAGGGCCCTCTGAGAGTGGCCGCCCTCCAGCTGAGGCCGGGAGGCGCGGAGCGAGATCACCTCCGCGCCCCCGCGAGCGGGGCTCGGCGATGCGTCGCCGAGAGATCGGCGATGGGCCCCGACAGCGAAGCCGCACGCTCCTGGGCGGAGGCCGGGTGGGCTATGAGACCCTGTCGGCGACGACTGGGCGCATGGAGGCCGGTGCATCCGTTCCCTCAGCTTCTTTCCCTGCTCGTGTCTCCGACTCGTGTCTCCGACGGTCGTTCGGGACGACCTGGGCACCCCTGGAGTGTTCTCGACGAGGCGCAGCCGCGCGAACGCAACCTGGGGCAGAACGACCACCTCGAGCCTCGAACCTCGAACACGAAACTCTCAAGCTTCCCATAATCCTCGTCGTCTGGTTTTCGGGTCATGGCTCGGGTCTCTGGCGGCCGCTCGGGACGATCCGGATACCCTGGAAAGCTCTCGACGAGGCGCAGCTGATGGGCCCCCCCCTCCAGGTATGGAAAATTGAGAAAACTGACAAAAACCTGCGAGCACCGCGTACCCCCCCCCCCCCCTTGAGCCTATCCTCCCCCCTGAGCCCGTCCCCTGGTCCCTGCGAGCCTGCGGGCAGAAAACCACCGAGGACAGACGAAAACGAAAACAACCGCGTCGCACCTCGAACCCGAAGCTCCCAGACTTCCCCAGTAGCCCCCGATTAGCGACACGCAAGAGTGACCCCAGGCAAGAGTAATCTTTGGTCCGCGGCTTTGGAGGGCCGCGGGGGGCCCTATTCCAAGCGTGCAAGCCAGTGTATGGCGGACCTCTATCAAGGCCGAGCACGTCGACAACAAAACCGAACACCGATCGAACTGACAGCGAAACCGAAACCGACCGAAATCGACTGGCCGAAAGCAGCTTAGAAGGGCGCAGCCACGAGGCAACGACCGAACCGAACCGACCGAACGCAACCGACCGCGACGCAACCGATCCGACCGAACTGTGAACACCCTTGTCTGTGGGTCCGCATCAAATGGTGGGCCGATTATCCACCACCGCAACCAGTAGGCAGGACGGGGGAGACGGGAGGATGGGGAGGTCCTCCTCCTCCTCCGCCTCCTCCTCATTCTCCTCTTTCTCCTGCTCCTCCGTCTCCTACATATGGTAGTGGTGGTCGTGGAGCATCGGCCCATCACAAAAGTCGGGCGCGGCCTGGCCGACCTTCTGTGACGTCATCCTCGCCTTTCGAGATCCCCTTCCGACCGCATACATGCGTCTTGGGGCGAGACGCGGGGGACGTCACGGAAGGGGATCGCTTGCTAGGGGTCGGTTAGGCCGCCCCTGACAAAGCGTCCCTCGGGCGAAGGGCCGCTCTTGCGCGCACAGTCGAAGCATGGTGGCGAGAGCGTGGACCAAGAACAGGGGCCCCTTTTCGTCGAGGGGCCAAGGCCCCCTGGAGATTCTTTCCTTCTTTCGTACTTCCGCCGGCGAGATCTCGCGCGTGCCTGGTTCGTGCAACGTGTGTGCCATGACACCGGCAGGCTCATAGCGACCCCGGGGGCCAACAGTTCAGGCGAACATCACGCTGGAGATTCCCGTGACGAATCACGCCCCCAGGCAGCAGGCCCAACCATGAAGAACGTAAGAGTGCCCGTCGGCCGGAAGAAGTGGGTCGAAAGATGAAGCAGGAAGGCGTTGGAAGTACAGTGGGGGCGTTGACCTAAGGAACCCTAAATAAGGAACGAGGCCCCTTCTATCCATAAGCTGAACTTCGGCGTCCCATCGAAAACCAAAGTAAAACCTTGAGCAAGCTGTGAAACAATCCAGGAACACCGAGCCCCTACCCAACGAAAAGGGTTCCTTCTTCAGCGCCCCGACTGTAGATGGGGTTTCCGCCCGCCCCCTGAAGAGGAGGCAAGAGGAAAAGCCGTTCGACCCTTGAAGCAGGATGGCGGCTCGAGTAGATTGGGACCTGGGGGTTCCAGACATATCGCCTTTCAACCACCGACGTCCCCCTCCAAAATCAGGGATGCTCTGAGCCCTCGTGCAAGCTGTACAATCGAAACTAGGCTAGAAGAACATCCCCCAAGAACATGAGACCCTCCACGCTCCCAAACACACAAAACATCCGAGGGTACCCTCCCCAGGATGCACAAAAACATCAGACACACGCGAAGAACACGAGCGCACCCTCCCCGAACCGACCTCGATCTGATTACCTCGCTCCGACTGTAGCCGATCCCAAACATGCGACGTCCTGATTTCTTCAATACAGGCCCCCTGGAAATCCCGACCCTTTCCCCGGGACCGGTTTCTCCTCCTGAATCGATTTTTGACGGTCCCGAAGCCCGGCGAAGGCCCCCAGGGGTCGAAAGCGGGCAACAAAAACCCCACCCCGCCATGATTTTTTCACAACGCGATCCCAGAGATCCGATGTCGTGACTTTCTCGATGCGCGGTCCCCAGAAGTCTCGACCCATTCCCCGGGACCGACATCTCCTCCCGAGTCGATTTTTGACTGCCCCGAGGCCCGGCGAGGGCCCCCACAGGGGCCGAACACGCCCCCCCCCCCCCCCCGCCCTGATTTTTTTTTTTTTTTTTGGTTGTTTTTTTTTGTTACGACGCGATCGTGTCTGGGATGAGGATGGCACCCCGCGGGCCCGCGGGCGGCCTGTCCAGGCCTGCCCGGCGAGACCGGCGCCGCTCCGCGGCCCGCGGTGGGCGAGGGCAGGCCGCCGGGCATGGCTGGCGGCCGCGCCCTGCGGCGGCCGGGCGGGGTCTCCGCGGGACCGGCCTCCCGGGGGGGGCCTCGGGCCGCGGGCCCCTCTTGGCGTCGCGGGCAGGGGGGGGCCTGTGGTTGTGGTGGTGGTTGTGGCTGTGGTTGTGGTTGCTGGTGCTGCTGTTGCGGTTGCTGCCGTTTTTTTTTTTTTTTTTTTTTTGCTGTTGAGCTCTCATTTCTGAAGAACAATTGTTGTTGATTCTCGCCCCCCTAATTCTACCACTTGTTTTATGCTCCTTGCCCCCCTCCTGCTAATCTCTCTCGTGCTCCATTCTTCTCCCTCCCCCTTCCATCCGTCTTCTCTTCCCTTGTTTGAGGGACTGCACTAAATACACGTGGCAGGTACAGAAGATATGCCCACATGGGGGTACAATCGAAGACGACGAGGGCGGGTACTGCGGGTTTGGGATATACGTATTGATTGGCACGTGAGCGGATAGGAGCGAACAAACTTAAAATGATTGTTGTTGAGCTCCCACTTCTAAGAATAATTATTGTCTATCCCCCTCATCTTCTCAATCAAAGTGTGCCCCTCGGCGCTCGCACCCGGTTTTTTGAGAGGGAAAGTCTTCCTGCTCAAACTGGGCCCCTGCCCCCCCGGATTGCAACAACAACGGCTCCCGCCTGAGACGTCCTCCAAATTTACTCAGGACCCCCGCTCCTGAGACTTCCACACAATTTACTCAGGAACGGCGCTCCTGCCTGTGACTTCCTCGCAATTTAGTCAGGACCCCCGCTCCCATCTGAGACTTCCTCACAATTTACCCAGGAACGGCGCTCCCGCTTGAGACTTCCTCGCAATTTAGTCAGGGCACCCTCGCAATTTAATCAAGACCCCCGCTCCCGCCAGAGAGCCCCTCACATTTTATTCAGGAGTTGCTCCCGCCTGTGGCTTCCATGCGATTTATTCAGAAATCGCGCTTTCGACGCTCAGGAAACACGCTGCGCCAAGCACGTCGTTACAATTTACTTAGTAATCGCGTTCTCGCCATACTCAGGCATCCCGCTTGACTGTCCCACCCGCCCGACCCGCCCGTCAGGGGATCGCCCGCCCGTCGTGGGCTCCCGCCCGAGACTTCCTTCAGGAACGGCGCTTTCGCCTAGGACTTCCTCGAACGTTCACGCTTTTACCTTCCTGCTCCTGCTCCCTCTCCTCCCTCCTCCCTCCTCTCCTCTACCGTAGCCATTTTGGCTCAAGGGGCTAGGAGTGGGCTTGAGCCGACGGAGACATTTCCCGTCGGTGCGTTTTGGTTTGTGGCGCCCCCAGCCCGACCAGCAGCCCGCGCCCAGGGCGTCGTTTCCCGAGCGACCCCGACCTGCCATGGCTTACGAGATGCTACCGGCGTTGGCCCCGCGGCTGGCCCCGAGGCCCGAGGCGGCAGCGCTCTGCCGCCTGGGCTATGCAGCCCGGCGCAGAAGGCCGATCCGGGGCGCCGATGTCGCCACCCTGGCGCTGCGCCTTCGCGCCGCCCTTCGGCCTGCCGCTGGTGCTGCTCCCCAGCGACCCGCTCAGCGACCAGTTCATGCAGTTCCTCTACCTGACGTTGTTCTCCGGACGGCCGGGCAGCCACGTGATGGCGATGCTCTTCGGCCAGGTGACGGAGATGCCTTATACTCTCGTGTCCAAGAAGGGGAGCCTCCTGCTGCTGCCGCCGGGCTGCAGCCGCTGCCCCAGGACAAGCCGACCATGGAGATGCAGTTGCAGCCACTGCTTGCCGCTGCCATTCGTGTTCCAAGACCGCTCACACTGCACGTCCCCGCGCACACGCCGGACGAGCAGGACGCCGCTGGCCGGTGCCAGGAGGAGCCGCCGCAAGTGCTGCCGCGCAGCAGCTGGGCGCAGGGCACGCTGCCCGCGCGCCGGCCACGGCGACGGTGCAGCACGGCTCCCACCAGGCACCTGGCGCGCCGCGCGAGGGGAGGATGGCAGGTCGCCTCCTACTCCCAGCCGCGGCAGCGATCGGTGAGACGCTGGGCTGGGCGCAGGGCACTGACGCCCCGCCGCCGCAGCCCCAGCAACGGCTTGAACGACGACGGCAGCGCCGGAGCAGGCGCGACAGACGACTCCAGCGAGATCGGCGAGAGAGAGCTGCAGGAGCAGGCCAAGGTCCCGGACGACCTCGACGAGGACGGCGTGGACGCGGCTAGCCTGCTGCAGCCTGACCAGGAGCAGGCGCCGTGCTCCAGCCCCCGCGCGGCGGGCGGCGACGGCCCCGGCCTCCCGCAGCCTGTGGGAGCTCAGGTCCATTTGACTGGGCTCAGAGAGGCCACTGCCTTCAACGGAATGTCGGCCGTGATCCTGACCGTGGTCCCCGCCAAGGCGATGTACCAGGTGCGTATGGATGACGGCTCGATCCGGACAGTCAGGGCCGTGAACGTCCGCTCGGGACCAGGATCTGCACAGGGTGGCGATGAAGCCGCAGACGTGTGCCACACCATCGACGAGGTGGACATCAGCTCTGGCGCCCGAGGCGGCGAGGCCAAGGATGGTCTGCTGCCCTCCGAACCCGCGGCGAGGTCCACCACCGTCTCGCAGGCGGTCTGCGGCGCCCTCGACGACGAGGCCATGAGCAGCCCGGCCTGCGCCCCGGCCCACGTCGTTCAAGGGCGGGTGAGCATGTGCATTGCAGAGGCTGACTTGCTCGACGCCGCCGTTCCTCCGGTCCGCTGTGCCGACTCGGTGATTGAGGCGAGGCTCGCCCATCGCCCGCCCCCGTGCTCTGGGATTTCCCACGATTTTCTTCTGTGCCGCATCTACAGCAGATCGGCGCACGGTCGCTCCGGATGGCGCTGAGCGCGAGTGTTGTGCCGCGCCGTCCAGGCGGTCCTGGCCCGAAGGAGGTCCGGCCGCCTCGCATCCAATGATCTCACACGTTGCCTCGCAGGAGTCACCTCGAGGCTCTCGCTGCCGTGCCTGCCGTCCAGCAGGCGTGGCGCCACAGGCCGTGCCTGCCGTCCAGCAGGAGTGCCGCCGCCGCTCGGGCTGGCCCGCCTACGCGCGGGACAGCCTGGGCCGTCCGAATCTTTGCCTCGCAGGTGTCCCCTCGAGGCTCTCGCTGCCGTGCCTGCCGTCCAGCAGGCGTGGCGCCACAAGCCGTGCCTGCCGTCCAGCAGGAGTGCCGCCGCCGCGCGGGCTGGCCCGCCTACGCGCGGGACAGCCTGGGCCGACCAAATCTTCGGACGGGCCTGAGAAGGGATCGGGCCTTCCATACCCTCAACCTGGCTACAGGCCAGGTTCGAGCCAGCCCATTATAAGGGCCACTGCGCGTCGTCATCGACAAGACGCAGAGTTCCACCACCACCTCCTCTCCTCCCTTCTCTCTCCCCCTCTCTTCCCTCATCCTTATGCCTCTCTGCCCTATACCCTCTCCCTCCTCTCCCTCCTCCCCTCTCCCTCACCTCTCCTGCCTCCTCCCTCCCTCTTTCTTTCTCTCGCTCTCTCTCTCTCTCTCTCTCTCTCTCCCCTCTCTCTCTCTCTCTTTCTTTACCTATCGTATCTGTCATTCTTTCTCTCTCTCTCTCTTTTTCTCTCTCTCTCTCTCTCTCTCTCTCTCTCTCTCTCTCTCTCTCTTTGCCTCTAATCAGCCGCCCCCCTCTTCGCTCCTTCTCTCCTGGCGTTTTCCGTCTTCCTTCGTCCCTCCCCCTCCCCTCCTCCCACTCTCCCTCGTTCTCCCCTTCTTTTTGCAGGGCCCACACCAGTTCCAATGTCGGGCGCATGTACGCCCACGAAGGACTGTCCGCCCGTTCAGGTTTGCCCGCCTGTCTAAGCCCGCCGCCCCCCGCAAAGAGAAAACATCCCCCCCAAGGGGGTGTGATCGAAGACAAAAAGGGCGGGCATCCAGGGTGTGGGGGGCTTGTTTTGAAATGACGCACGGGCAAGCAAGAACGAACAATCTTAGAATGATTGTTGTTGTGGTTGCTGTTGCTGCTGTTGTTTGTTGCTGTTGCTGTTGTTGTTGAACTGTCACTTCTGAAACATAATTCGTGTTGATCCCCCCCGCCCGGTGTATATTGTATTTCTAAATTGAAGTGCCCCTCCCGGGGCTCGCACCCTGTTATTTATCAAGGAAGGTCTTGCGGCTCAAACTGCGTCGTTGGCCCTCCAGTTTACAACAGCAACAACAACAACAACCATTTTAAGGCTGTACGCTCTTACTTGCCCGCGAGTCATTCAACACGTATACCCTACACCCTCGATGCCCGCCCTCTTCGTCTTCGATCACACCCCTTTCGGGGGGATTATTTCTCTTTGCTGGGGCCGGCGGGCTTAGACGTACGGGCAAACCGGAACGGGCGGACAATCCTTCGGGGGCGTACATCTCTCTGCCCGCCATTGGAATTGGCGCGGGCCCTGCAAGAGGAGGAGGGGAAGAACGAGGGAGAGTGGGAGGAAGGGGAGGGGGAAGGACGAAGGAAGAGGGAAGATACCACGTTGTGAAGGCGTCCTTGGCGCGTGCGTGGTTCCTGAGCGCCGAAACGCAATTCCAGAATAATTTGTGAGGACGTCGCACGCGAGAGCGCAGTCCTGAGTACATTGTAAGGAAATCTCAGGCGGAAGCGGGGGCCCTGACTAAGTTGCGAGGAAGTCTCAAGCGGGAGCGCCGTTCCTGAGCAAATTGCACGGAGGTCTCAGGCGGGAGCGGGGGTCCTCACTAAATTGCGAGAAGTTTCTCAGGCGGGAGCGCCGTTCCTGAGTCAATTGCGCGGAAATGTCAGGCAGGAGCGGGGGTCCTGAGTAAAATTCGAAGAAGTCTCAGGCGGGAGCGCCGTTCCCACGTAAATTGCACGGAAGTCTCAAGCGGGAGCGGGGGTCTTGATTACATTGCGAGGAAGTCTCAGTGGGAGCGCCTTTCCTGAGTAAATTGCGCGGAAGTCTCAGGCGGGAGCGGGGGTCCTGAGTAAAAATTGAGGAAGTCTCAAGCGGGAGCCGTTGTTGCTGTAGCCCGGGGGGCAGGGGCACAGTTTGAGCAGGAAGACTTTCCTCGTGAAAAAACAACGTGCGAGCCCCGGGGGTGGCACTTCAATTGAAAAAAATCAATGTGCACCGGTGG